TTCGCAATGTTGCCGAATTGTCTCTACCTCCCTTTTTATTACAGTAACTCCCACGTGCCGACTATTATTTCCATTGTTGTGGTAATAACATAGAAATTTCTTTTGCAATTCGCGTTTGGCTTGCCAGACTATACACTGCTAGTGATTCAGAAATAAGGCTGGCAACATTGCGTATCGAAGTTAAAAATCTCGCTAGGGCTTGGAACAAAATTGCACCAAGGATATTACATACTAGCACAGGATTGCTCATGGGCATCGATTTTTAGAATCAAGTTATCAACAATGTGGTTAGCTGTTTTGATCAACATGCCAGGCAAAGAGGAAGATGCAAAAGGGATTTGAAATAGAGTTGTTGTAGAATGTTAATTAATGTACTAAAATCAAAAATGTATAAAGCAAAAGCCAGCACAGTCTTAAACTGTGGTACAAACACCCTACGTTAAGACGAGAAACGACACGCTGCCTACGTCATCATTGGTACTTTGGCATGATGGGGGAATTTGTCTTGAGTAGTTAGTTTGACAATGAAAATATTGGTTTAGACATATTTTTTTTTCTATTCGGAGCTTTTGAATTTCAAAAATATGCGTGGAAAAAGTTAGATACGCCAATGGCTTTTGAGCTCCACCCATTTCTAAATTAAGCACAGTAAATATATACAGGGTGTTCCTTTTATGTTCACAGGGTTACCAAAATTTTGTTCGTTTCTCAATGAAGATATAAGAAATATAAGGTAAACACAATTAAAAACCATGTGGAATTATTAAGTACGTCATTTTGTAGAGAAGAAATCTTGAAACTTTAGTATTAAAATATTCATTAAATAAGTTCTAAGGATTTTCCCTATTATCTTGGAAACGAACAAAAATTTGGCAACCTTGCTAACCTAATTTGCAGATTTTGAAGCAAAGAAAAAAAAAAAGAGATACATGATCTCCCATAAGTTTTTCTTAGTAGAACGAGGTTATCAACTGCGTATGCGTTAAACGCTAGATTCTTATTGGCTGCTGGTTAACATTTTGTAAGATGCTTCTTGTGCAGTGTTGTCATATCAAGGATAATATGCGTCATTTCGAATTTTTGTTTTTCTGGTGTTTCCTTTAAATAATTTTTCTAGGACTTTGGCAACCCTGCAATATCAGCTACCTAAAATTGATGCTTATTGGCAGAATAATTTTATATTAACGCATGCGCATTAGAAAACACAATTCTCTTTAGACAAAGATTGCAAACTTTCATTTTCATCTCATATTGTTCGCTTCACCAGCTTGAAACAGTGTGCAATATACGTCAGTATAATGGTATGGTTATTTGATAAAGAAGGGTAACTTGATGACGTCATCTATGGTACCCTATGGAGATTTGCATTATGTTAAGGCATCCCAAATGACATCATAAAAGTTATCAAGCAACCTACCTTTGAATGAGATTAAGTCGTCACGCCCAAATTGAAAGTTCATTCGATCGGAATCTAGTTTTACCAAGCGAGAGAAAGAAACAGCAGAAGTCAGCTGGTAATTCAAGATGGCGACGTGGGCATAACAAACTTGACGACCGTGAAGGTTCCTTTATATTCAATTCCAATTGATTGCAATTTGAATGCGAATTGAATGTAAGCGTGCCTTTACGGTTGTCAGGTGTGCTATTCCCACCGGCGCCATATTGAATTGAGAAAACGTCAAATCGCCATATTTATACAATTAACCAAACCTAACGGACTTGAGGTTATAAGAAGGCAGTAAAGCAACATTGGCCGCGTTCACCAGATACAAACGTTAGTAAACGGTTTGCGATTGTTCTGCTGCACGCTACGTTGAATTTGTGTTAAAACCAAACATGATTTGCAAACGGTCGCCATTTTTGCAAGCATAATTTCAGAGTGTGTATAATTTTCAACACTGTGTTTTGTGTGGTGACCTGTCATTCAGAAGGTGACGTTCTATCATTGAAAAGTTGAATCGTTCAGCAGAACCAACATATTCTGTTGGTATTTGTAAACTGTTTACAATCCTTTTTGGTTCTAGTGAACGTAGCCATTGTAATTCCAAAATAGTTGACACATCAAACTTCAGGGTCGCCAACAAAAACAAAATTATTTGAATTTCACAAAGCCTACTAGCATCGATTAAAGGCGATTAACCGGTCGGTCATAGTTGACAGATAACCAATGAAGCAAACGTCATTTGTCAACCAATCGGTGATAAATGACGGTAAATGCATTGTTCATCTGTCAATATAACCGATTGGTTATTCGCCTTTAATCGACTTAGAATTAAGATATATAGTTTATTGGGTAACAGTTTTGCCAACTGTAAAATTTTAGTATCAAAATATTAGCCATGTCAACCTTTATTGTTGCCAGCTGCAAAAAATATTTATTCAATTTTTTTTTATGGCCTACTAGAATAAGTTACTTATTCAGTTTCAGTGTTGCCAACTCTAAATTTTCGGCGGCATGATATTTGACATATCAAGTTCAGTAGCACTAACTGAAATTTGATTTTTCCAAAATGACATTGACGCACATTTTACTTCCTAACTTCCTTCCCTTGTTTTGACTAAAAATGAGATTCGTTTCATTTCCATTATTACCATGTTGCCAGACTTCATTTCCAGGGCTTTTTGAGACATGTGACGGATACCTATCTCTTTTTATCTCATTGACTCCAATGGCGAATTATGGAAATATAGAGCGATTTGACGTTTCTCTCAATTCAATATGGCGCCGTTGAAGGAACACACCTTTGACAACTGTAAAGAGGCGTTTACATTCAATTCTCATACAAATTGCAATCAGTTGCCTTCACGAACGTCAAGTTTGTTATGCCCATTTCGTCATCTTGAATTGTCAGCTGATTTGAATTATCTAATAAACTATATTTGAGGTTAAGGTGAAAATTTCTTGTAATATAGTTATCCTTCAATTAGCTAAACCTAACAGGGTGGGTATGACAAAGAAAGGTAACCATCATAGTAAAGTGTTAAAATGAACATACAAACGTCAATATTTGACAAAGGTCGACACCATTTCAGGTACTTGTCAAATAAGTATATAATTTATTGATTAGCACAGTGAATAGGTAGGTATATATTGGAGGTGGAGCCTAACAAGCATGGGCGTACCATTTCAAAACAATAATTCATTTAAAAGAGTGCAAATTGTTTTATTTGTTATTACATATATTTACTTAGGAAATCGTAATTATTTAAATAATTTTTCTAAAAAAAGACAATTGCCCTAAGGTCTCTATTGACATAACCCTTGGTTTAGAAATAGACTTTCGAGTTTAATTGTAATTTTGAATGACAAATGGAAGAAATTTGATGATGAGGACGAAATACTTCAAACCCTCACCTACGCTAATGTCTTGGAAGCGCCGCCCATTTTAAATTTTAGCACAGGTGTGGGCGGAGCCTAATAAGCATTGGCGTACCATTTCAAAAACTGATGACAGTATTCAGTTGGTCAGCCACTTATCCGTTGACCAATAGTATTATAGATTGATGAATGTATCTTGTAGACAATAATTACCGGTAAGTTTATCTGAAGATGAATAAGGGCGGGTATTATAAAACTATTTTGACAGATTAACTAAGAGTTAACGTCTGGAATGACATTACTTCTCATATTGATTCCAGGAGTAAACTTTTAGTTATCTGTCAAAATAGTTTTATATTTCCCGCCCTAAACTACTGGGCTGGGAATCTGTAATGAATTTAAAAAAAAATTCTATCTTCATTGACCCTTCTCTATTGATTTCGAGAAGAGAGAAGAAGACAGCAAGTGCCATAGCGATAGGGATAACGATCTCACGAGTTTCAGGTGAAGGCATAGTTAAATAATAATGACAATAAAACAATTAGTCAAAACATTGTAGGTGATTAGATTTTCCTTTTTTTTTTTTTTTAATAGATAAATAGGTGATAAAAATGACAGGATCAATTGAAATAATGGGTCATATGCATAAAACACAAGCATATGCTTTTGCTCAAGTTTTTTGAGATAAACATATTCAGCTTTAATGTAGCAAAAAGAGATGGAGGTAGAGTATGTGGCTACACTTTATTCATACGACTGAATAACTCTTCTTTTTTCCTTTCAAATGATAATTTCTCAATCCGGTAACGTCTTAGTAGGCCAATAATCGTAAAAAACAGGATTGCTCATTCTATTACTTAATAAGGCGTACGTTCGCCAATTTTTGATTCAGCAGCTGGTCTGCGAGTGACGACTGATAGTAGATTTTAATGTTTTTCGACCTATAGTGCTTTAAACTGGGATAATGCATTTTACATCAAGAGTTGAAGTTTGAGGCTAACATGACGGACACTTTCAGCTTAATAAGCAGTCCTATTAAGTTAAGTGTTCTTGACTTACGCCAATGTCTTGTGACTGTGAGCTCCACCCATTGTGAAATTTAGTACAGTTGTGGGTGGAGCCTAACAAACATTGGCGTAACATTTCAAAAACTAATGACAGGATTTAGTTGATCGGCCAGTTATGCGTCGACCAATAGAAATATAGATTGATAAATTTTGTTTTGTAGATAGCTACGGGGCATAGTTGACAAGAGAATCCAAAAACATAGCAGGCGAATAGGTCCTCTTCTTTTTTTTTTTTAATAAACTATCAAAAATGATCTCAAGGGATAATTTGGCAACCCAGTAACGTCTTAGTAGGCCAAGATTTGTAAACTAACAGGATTGCTTCTCCTATTACCTAATAGGGCGTACATTCGCCAATTCTCAAGTACGGCAGTTGCTCTGCGAGTGATGTCACCACTAACAGCAGCTGATGATGGTGACGTCACCCGCAGACCTCGACGGATTGCTTGCGATTTTTTAGGAATTCGTTTTTTTTTGACCTCGGATAATGTATTTTACACCAAAAGTTAAGATCTAAAGCTGACCTCACCTCAGTCCTATTAGGACAAGTGTTCTTGTTAGTAGGCCATAGAAATAACTACCATTATTCTATCATAGAGTCGCATTTTTTCCAGGGTCGTCACACGAAAACCGGTCAATTGGCCGCCATCAAAGTGATGGACGTCACCGAGGACGAAGAAGAAGAAATCAAATTGGAAATCAACGTACTGAAGAAATTTTCGAATCATCGTAATATTGCCACGTATTATGGGGCTTTCATTAAAAAGTCACCGCCAGGTAAAAATCTTGACATCGAGTCCATTATTTTCGGACTCATTTAATTCATATATGTAGGTAAAGATGATCAACTATGGTTGGTCATGGAATATTGCGGAGCCGGTTCAGTGACGGACCTAGTAAAATCGACCAAAGGCCAATCGTTGAAAGAGGAATGGATCGCGTACATTTGTCGTGAAATTCTCAGAGGTCTTTCCTATTTGCATTCGAACAAAGTCATCCACCGTGACATCAAAGGGCAAAACGTGCTGTTGACCGACAATGCCGAAGTAAAACTGGTCGATTTCGGGGTGTCGGCTCAACTAGACCGAACCATCGGTCGTCGTAACACTTTTATCGGTACCCCTTATTGGATGGCACCTGAGGTAATCGCTTGTGATGAAAACCCCGAAGCGACTTACGATAATCGTAGCGATTTGTGGTCGCTCGGGATTACGGCGCTTGAAATGGCCGAGTCGCAACCGCCTTTGTGCGAACTGCACCCGATGAGGGCGCTGTTTTTGATACCGCGCAACCCGCCACCTCGGTTAAAGAGCAAAAAGTGGAACAAAAAGTTTCACGGCTTTATTGAAACTGTTTTGGTTAAGGATTATCACGAGCGGCCTTATACGGAACAACTATTGAAACACGCATTTATTAAGTGAGTATTTAGGTTTTTTTTTTGAGGTTAAGAGTCTGTGATAATATTTGTCGCAGAGACCAACCGACCGAAAGGCAAGTGAGGATACAACTAAAAGATCACATAGACAGGTGTAAAAAGAGGAAGCAGGAAAAAGAGCGCGACGATTATCGTTATTCTGGTTCGGAAAACGAGGAAGAAGAGCCTCAGGTGGCTGGAGAGCCGAGCAGTATAATCCAGGCACCTGGAGGGGACACTCTCAGGCGGAATTTCCAACAGATTCAGGAAGGCAGGACTTTAGTCGAACCACCACCCAGGTGAGGATGGAATCTTTTAGTTCATACAGGTTTTTTTTCAAGGATGATACACACTTACATGATTACGTAATAGCCTCGTTTTTAGTATGTATGTGGCACCATTTTTGACGTCATACGTAAGTCGTCAGCTGTTGAAACAGCCTACGTCAAGGCGAGAAATAACATGCTGCCTACGTCACAATTAGTGATTTACACAGGCCCTATAAGGATAGGCCATTTTGTAGTAGTGTGGTGTATCATCCTTGGGTCGAAATCGCGTTTTTTTTTTTAAAATTACGAGCCCGAAGGGCGAGAGTATTTTGAATCTTAAGCGCACAGGGCAACAAAAAAACGCCATTTTGTATCGACTGTAAAGGAAAACAAGGCCTACTTTGAAACATCAATTTTTTGACGTTTTTTGTGTCATGAGCAGTGTTGTCATATGTTTTTTCAAATCTTGAAACTGGAAGGATGGGGTTATTTTAATTACGAGCCCGAAAGGCCGGGGTCATTTTAACCACAAGCCCGGTGAGCCGAGGCTCAAAGAGTCGAAATTTTAGGAGCTCGGAGGGCCAGAGTTATTCGAGCCCGAAGGGCCGGGGTTTTATGAACATTCGTGTGTATTACCATTACCAAACAAAACCCCTTACCCTATAAATTCGTGGTTTAAAAAGATCGCGGCTCTACGGGCAGTTGATTAAAAATGACCTTAGCCCTTCGGGCTGGTAAAAAGACCCCAGCCCTTCGGGCTGGTAAAAAGACCCCAGCCCTTCGGGCTGGTAAAAAGACCCCAGCCCTTCGGGCTGGTAAAAAGACCCCAGCCCTGTCAAAATTATTTGATATTTTGGCAAATGTCAATTTTTTTACAAACTCAATTTTGACAGCTGTCGAACACTTTTCAATTTCAATGAACAAAAATTTTATCTACGATCCCAATAATTGACATCTCATTGTCAAAAATCCTTGAAATTTGACAAATGTCAATTTTCTATATGTCAAATTTTTTCGAGTCATTTTTCTAATTTAATTTGCAAAATGTCACTTACAAAATTTCATGTTCGACCCCAATAATTGACATATTATTGTAAAAAATAGTGACATTAGACAGGTGTCAATTTTCTTGTCAAATTTTTCTAATTTAATTTTCAAAATGTCAGCTTTAAAATTTTATCTACGACCCCAATAATTTACATCTCATCGTCAAAATCATATGATATTTTGACAGGAGTCAGTTTTTTTACAAAGTCTCTAAAGAATTTAATTTTCACAGTCGAGAATTTTTCAATCTCAATTAACAAAATTGACACATATCATTGTCAAACATCCTGACAAGCTTATAATTTATAAAGACTCCGGCCCTTCGGCCTCGTGATTCAAAAAGACCTACGTCACAACTGGTGATTTGGCATGGTGGGATTTGTGGCCTTATGAGGATGGGCCATCCTGTAGTAGTAGTGTGTATCATCCTTGGGTCAAAATGGCAATTTTTCTTTAATTACGAGCCCGAAGGGCGAGAGTGTTTTCAATCCTAAGTGCACAGGGCAACAAGAAAACGCCATTTTGTATTTACTATCAAGGAAAACAAGGCCTACTTTAAAACGTCAATTTTTTGACGTTTGTTGTGTCATAAGAAGTGTTGCCATATGTTTTTTTTCGAATCTCGAGAACCAAGGGCTGAGGTAATTTTGATTACGAGCCCGAAGGGCCGGGGTCATTTTGAACACAAGCCGAAGTTATACAAGCTCGAAGGATCAGAATTTTACGAGCCCGGAGGGCCGGAATTTCATACACAGTCGTGCGTATTACTAGCTAAAACCCTTTACTCTATAAATTCGTGATTTAAAAAAACCCCAGCCCTACGGGCTGTTGATTAAAAATGATTCCAGCCCTTTGAGCTGGTAAAATAACACCAGCCCTTCGGGTTGGTAAGAATGCCCTAGCCCTTCAAGCTCGTAAGAAAGCCCCGGCTTTTCGGGCTTGTGATTTAGAATGACTCCGGCCCTTCGGGCTCGTAATTAGAAAAACCCCAGCCCCGAAAATGTCACAAATTTAGAGCCTAAAATTGACAGCTTACTGTCAAAATTATATGATATTTTGGTAAATGTCAATTTTTTTTACAAACTCAATTTTAACAGCTGTCGAACACTTTTCAATTTCAATCAACAAAAATTTTATCTAAAGCCTCAATAATTGACATCTCATTGTCAAAAATCCTTGATATTTGACAAATGTCAATTTTCTTTCTGTCAATTTTTTTCGAGTCATTTTTCGAATTTAATTTGCAAAATGTCACTTACAAAATTTCATGTTCGACCCCAATAATTTACATCTTATTGTAAAAAATAGTGACATTAGACAGGTGTCAATTTTCTTGTCATATTTTTCTAATTTAATTTTCAAAATGTCAGCTTTAAAATTTTATCTACGACCTCAATAATTGACATCTCATCGTCAAAATCATATGATATTTTAACAGGAGTCAGTTTATTTACAAATTCTCTAAAAAATTTAATTTTCAGTCGAGAATTTTTCAATCTCAATTACCAAAATTGACACAAATAATTGTCCATCATCCTGTCAAGCTCGTAATTTATAAAGACTCCGGCCCTTCGGGCTCGTGATTCAAAAAGACCTACGTCACAACTGGTGATTTGGCATGGTGGGATTTGTGGCCTTATGAGGATGAGCCATCCTGTAGTAGTAGTGTGTATCATCCTTGGGACAAAATGGCAATTTTTTTCTTTAATTACGAGCCCGAAGGGCGAGAGTGTTTTCAATCCTAAGTGCACAGGGCAACAAAAAAACGCCATTTTGTATTTACTGTCAAGGAAAACAAGGCCTACTTTGAAACGTCAATTTTTTGACGTTTGTTGTGTCATAAGAAGTGTTGCCATATGTTTTTTTCGAATCTCGAGAACCAAGGGCTGAGGTAATTTTGATTACGAGCCCGAAGGGCCGGGGTCATTTTGAACACAAGCCGAAGTTATACAAGCTCGAAGGATCAGAATTTTACGAGCCCGGAGGGCCGGAATTTCATACACAGTCGTGCGTATTACTAGCTAAAACCCCTTACTCTATAAATTCGTGATTTAAAAAAACCCCAGCCCTACGGGCTGTTGATAAAAAATGATTCCAGCCCTTTGGGCTGGTAAAATACCACCAGCCCTCTGGGTTGGTAAGAATGCCCTAGCCCTTCAAGCTCGTAAGAAAGCCCCGGCTTTTCGGGCTTGTGATTTAGAATGACTCCGGCCCTTCGGGCTCGTAATTAGAAAAACCCCAGCCCCGAAAATGTCACAAATTTAGAGCCTAAAATTGACAGCTTACTGTCAAAATTATATGTTATTTTGGCAGATGTCAATTTTGACAGCTGTCGAACACTTTTCAATTTCAATCAACAAAAATTTTATCTAAAGCCTCAATAATTGACATCTCATTGTCAAAAATCCTTGACATTTGACAAATGTCAATTTTCTATATGTCAAATTTTTTCGAGTCATTTTTCTAATTTAATTTGCAAAACGTCACTTACAAAATTTCATGTTCGACCCCAATAATTGACATTTTATTGTAAAAAATAGTGAGATTAGACAGGTTTCAATTTTCTTGTCAAATTTTTCTAATTATTTTTCTAATTTAATTTGCAAAATATCAGCTACAAAATTTTATCTACGACCCCAATAATTGACATCTCATTGTCAAAATCATATGATATTTTGACAGGAGTCAGTTTTTTTACAAATTCTCTAAGAAATTTTTAATCTCAATTAACAAAATTGACACAAATTATTGTCAAAAAAATCCTGACAAGCTCGTAATTTATAAAGACTCCGGCCCTTCGGGCTCGTGATTAAAAAAAAAACCTACGTCACAACTGGTGATTTAGCGCGGGAAGAATTTATTTCACACAGGCCATCTTGTAGTAGTAATGTGTATCATCCTTGGGTTTTTTTACATAGTTTAGCGACTGTTTGCTGTGACGTCACACACATAACCACACTTTCCCATCGAAAATGAGGTTATGTGTGTGACGTCATAGTGCCCAATGTTGCGCGCGCATATACAAATCGTCATTTTTAGAAGCGGCAAAAACAAGGACCGCGAAGAAATTCCGGAACCGGGACCGCCCGCTCGGCCGCCCATCCCGCAACGCATCATCGTCGTGCCGGACCCGGCGGCGCCGCCCAGACGCCCGCTGCCGCCGCCGCCCGACAACAATTTCGCGCCCGCCGCTCCCCGGTCGCAACCGCAACAACCGCAAAGGAATTCGCAGTCGCAGCACATGTTTAAACCTATGGTGAGTGTTTGGGTTTTACTTGTTTTGTGTCCTTTTTTTTCCTCATATTACCATCGCAACTTTTCTCTATTTTTTTGTTTTGTTTTTCTAATTCTTGTCCTTGTTTTTATTTCATGTTAATTCACCATTTCACTCACTCACCCTGCAGGCTCCTGCACGTAAACCCGAGGTACGTTTATATTAGAGTTCGATTTGAAATCTTAATTTATTTGTGTGTTTTTTCAAGGAACTCGATTCTTTGGCCGCTCACTTAAATGAATTGGGCATGCAACAACCTGCTTCAAATAATGGCGCCGCTCAACCGGAAGCGCCCCCTAGAAACAATAGAAATAATTCGCGTTCGCAGGTATTTTATATTTTGGCGCCAAATGAATAACGGTCGCTGATTGGTTTTGTTTAAGGCTTCAAATAACAACAATAACGTGTCACCTCCAAGTACATCAGCCAATGACAGGCCAATTGAAGCATTGGTCGATAGTGAAAGTGACTCAGAGCCTGAAGATGGCGGTAGGGGTGCTAGAAATGATGGGACGTTATTGGCCAGCGATCCACCTAAGCCTCTGTGAGTCAAAAATTGATTTGTTGTTTTACTAATTTTAACATTTTTCTCCTCCTTTTTACTTTTTTTCGTTGGTATTTTTTTTTTTTCTGTTAGTCCCGAGTTTTCTTACAGGGCCGGACTGCCTGGAGTACCTGAAGGTACTGCCAGCGTATCGAGTCCAGGAGCCACCAGTGGCTCAAGTACTGGAGGTGCACCAAACAGGCCTTTGCCTCCTACTCCTGACGACGACGAATCTCAAGGCGACCGTACTTTAGTCTTAAGAAAGGTAAGTGCTAAAAAATCAATGTTCGATGTTTTATTTTTTTTTTTTTTGCTTCGTTTTCCAAATAAATCTACACGTTTTTCTATAGCAAAAGCAGTTGGTTGCCATGTTTGCAATGTTGCCAACTGTTCTCTGGCGATCTTAATTTTTCGAATCTTCGTCGTTTATTTTGTTTTTTATTTTTTTTTTAAAAATGGCAGCAGTCTGCGGCAAATCCGAAAAACAAACGCCATCACGAAGATGTCGACGAAGCCACGCTACTTAAAGATTGGGATTTTGACAAGTTTTTCCCCATTGTAAACAAACAGCAGGCTGACAAACCTAAAAATCTACCAAAAACTAATAGTCTTAATAAGGGACACAAAAGAACAGATAGTGACTCGAAGGTGCAGCCGTTTTTCCGCGGGTTTAGACGGGAAAACTCTGACTTTTTCCCGCTGAGCTCGCGTCACAGCGCCATCTATATCGATCAGCAGAAAGCGGCCAGGTCAAGCGGCATCTTCAACAATCGGCGCGGCTCCGAAGCGGGCATCGGCAAAAAAACGGCAGGCGAGCCGATTCTTATGGACTGGAAACAGCGCAACTCTGATGGACCGACAATCGTGGCGTCTACGCCCAAAAAAACTAGCGACGTTACCAGGTGCGACAACTGCCAAGACGGATTTTGATTGAAACGTAAAATAATGCAGTGTTGCCAACAACTTTTTATAAATCAAATAATGGCAATTCACCTATTTGTTTTACCAAAAGACGTGACAGTTCATTAAACAAGACAAGGCACATCCAGTTCAGTTCGATTTGAATGGAAAATGTAGGTTCGATTCAGTAACTGTCAACTGTCACTTGTCAGTTGTTCGTTTGGTGTAAAAAGGTCTCTTGTTTTTTTTTTATATATTTAGTGCCGGTACTTTTGCTCTCATTTGACAGCCGTTAAAAATAATCAGAGGTTAGAATGTGCTTTAACCATATCATACTTATAGACTTTGGCCCATGCAAAACTTTGACAACGTATCAAATTCGTTAATCGAGAGCAAAAGTATCTATCAGAAACTCTAAGAATCACTTATAAAGCTACGTCAAATTGAAAACTATATTTTTATCCTTGTCAGACCACGGGCAATGAATAAAGACAACGAGATACCCAGCATATTCAGGGCAAGAGTGTTTCTAATCTTAGGCATATAGGGCAACAAATAAACGCCATTTTGTATTGACTATCAAGGAAGACAAGGCCTACTTTGAAACGTCAATTTTTTGACGTTTGTTGTGTCATAGGCCGAAACCATATGTTTTTTTCAAATCTTGAGACCGAAGATTTGGAGTTATTTTAATTATGAGCCTAAAGGGAAAGTTATACGAGCTCGAAGAGCCGGAGTCATACGAGCCCGAAGGGCCGGAGTTATTTTAATCACGAGCCCGAAGGATTGGAGTTTTACGAGCCCGAAGGGCCGGAGTTATATGAGCTCGAAGGGCCAGATTTATAGGGGACCGGAGGGCCACAGTTTTATACACATTCGTACGTATTTACCAGATAAAAACCTTTGTCCTATAAATCCGTAATTTAAAAAGACCCCGTAGTAGTAACGGGGGCACCTGAGCCTGAGAAATTTTTCGATACCGTGAGAAAATCTCTAGATTGGTGACGCCTTTGATTTGAAATTTCATGGATTTGACCCGGACCAACTCCAAATTTTTTAATATCATGATTCATGAAGTTATCGGTGGCGCCATTTAGCGTACATAGTTTGAAGTTCGTTGTGTCCTTATACAGGATACCGTAGTGGTAAATAGGAAAAATTCGTGAATTAGCACGCCAGCGACGTTTAATGTGGGAACAAACAAGAGTATCATGTTTCACGGTTAACCGGTTGGCCTGGGTTAAATCCATGAAATTTTAGATCAAAGACGCCGCCGATTTAGAGATTTTCCCACGGTATCGAAAAATTTCTCAGGCTCAGGTGCCCCCGTTACTACTAACCCGTCTAGAAAAGCTGTCTGTGTAGACAGACCTTTCTTGAAAAGCTGTCATTATAAACAGACCTGTTCCATGAAAAAGGTGTCTGTGTAAACAGATCTGTCTCGAAAAAGCTGTATGTTCTGTGATCGGACCTGTCTCTGGACTTATATAGCTGTCTACACATCTAATTGTTTCTGGACCTGTATAGTTAGAGCGTTTCAGAGTCTATACGAAGTTACTTGGACCCTACGGTCTCTTGATTTAAAATGATCCCGGCCCTTCGGGCTCGTAAAAAGGTCCCGGCCTTTCGGGCTTGTAAGAAGACGTAGTACCCGGGGCACCTGAGCCTGAGAAATTTTTCGATACCATGGGAAAATCTCTAGATTGGCGCCTTTGATCTAAAATTTCATGGATTTGATCCGGGCCAACTCCAAATTTTTTGATGTCATGATGTTATCGGTGGCGCCATTTAGCGTATATAGTGTGTCCTTATACAGGATGCCGTAGTGGTAAATAGGAAAAATTCGTGAATTAGCACGCCAGCGACGTTTAATGTAGGAACAAACAGGAGTATCATGTTTCACGGTTAACTAGTTGGCCCGGGTTAAATCCATGAAATTTCAGATCAAAGACGCCGCCGATTTAGAAAATTTCCCACGGTATCGAAAAATTTCCCAGGCTCAGGTGCCCCTGGTGTTGGTGGGAGTAAACTGATCCAATTATAATCGAACACGGTGTGGTTCACTTGAATTGAACCAGATCGATCTAATCTGGTCAATCAAATGCAGCTCAGAGATATATAGCAATCTGTCTTTTTTATTAATCTTATTTTTACGGGGTAAAAAGGGAAGGAGAAAGACCGCGTGACGTGCAACTTATATATCTATCAGAAATTCTAACAACTTTCAGATGTTTCTTGTCATGCGATGAGAATCACTTATAAAGCCACGTCAAATTGAATATTAACTGTATTTTTATCCTTGTCAGACCACGGGCAATGAATAAAGATAACGAGATACCCAGCATACCTAGGGCAAGAGTGTTTCCAATCTTAGGCGCACAGGGCAACAAAGAAACGCCACTTGTATCGAGTTTTAAAGAAAACAAGGCCTGCTTTTTTGACGTTTGTTGTGTCATAAGCCATATGTTTTTTTCAAATCTTAAAACCGAAGGTTTGGGGTTATTTTAATTATGAGCCCAAAGGGGAAGTTATACGAGCTCGAAGAGCTGGAGTTTTACGAGCCCGAAGGGCTGGAGTTATAGGAACCCGGAGGGCCAGAGTTTTATATACATTCGTGCGTATTTACTAAATAAAAACCCTTGTCCTAAAAATTTGTGATTTAAAAAGACCCCGTAGTAGTAACGGGGGCACCTGACCTTGAGAAATTTTTCGATACCGTGGGAAAATCTCTAGATCGGTGACGCCTTTGATCTGAAATTTCATGGATTTGACCCGGACCAACTCCAAATTTTTTAATATCATAATTCATGAAGTTATCGGTGGCGCCATTCAGCGTACATAGTGTGAAGTTCGTTGTGTCCTTATACAGGATGCCGTAATGGTATATAGGAAAAATTCGTGAATTAGCACGCCAACGACGTTTAATGTGGGAACAAACAGGAGTATCATGTTTCACGGTTAACTGGTTGGCCCGGGTTAAATCCATGAAATTTTAGATCAATGACGCCGCCGATTTAGAGATTTTCCCACGGTATCGAAAAATTTCTCGGGCTCAGGTGCCCCCGTTACTACTAACCTGTCTAGAAAAGCTGTCTTTGTAGACAGACCTTTCTCGAAAAGAGGTGTCATTATAGACAGACCTGTCCAATAAAAAACGTGTCTGTGTAGACTAGACAAACCTGTCTTGAAAAGCTGTATGTTCTGTGATCGGACCTGTCTCTGGACCTATATAGCTGTCTACACACTTAATTGTTTCTGAACCTGTATAGTTAGAGCGTTTACTACACCTTTTGTCTGTAGGGCGGCGCTTTACCTACTCTAAAATTAAAACTATGATTAAAGATATGAGACATAAAATCATCTAATTGGCTGTTCGTAAAAACAACGTTACCGATATGCCTTTTTCCAACGTATTGCCTCGTGTAAAAGCTAAAAATACATAGGTGAATTGCTACTTCCAAAATCAATATAAATCAAATTTGATTGATTGTTGGCAACATCGCATCGGTGCAATTGTTTCAACAAACCCAAAAACGAAATCCCCCCAATTTAGTCGTACCCCCACGACGTCTCAGTCATCGTTGAAACAAACGATCCGTAACAGTCTGATGCGACCCCGACGCGAAAAAACCGAATCCGATATCGTGCTGCGACACTCGGAGGCGCGGCGCAGCATCCGGGAAACGTTGGAGGCGCGCAGGCGCGAAGTGGAGGTTCAGTTCGCGCAGGAGGCGGCCGATATGCGCAGGCGCAACTCGAAACCGATCGAAATACTGAACGCGTCGCAGTCCATCGACGGCGACGAGTTTTCCTTTATCGCTCAGGTAACTTCTTCTTCTTGGCTTTTACCGGGTTGCTAAATAACATAGTCACTTTACTATTTGTGTATAATATTTTTTGTGTCACATATTTAACTAGCTTGATATAATAGTCATAGATTGTATTAACTAATTGAATTGGCAAAGTTGTATTTATGCACATTCCTCGTATTGCCAATGCATTTTATAGGAGGACTGCGCAATAAAATAGACCAAAAACTAGTAATAGTATATAATGTATTTTCATTGCTAAGCTATAGTATAAAATTGTAATCAATAATTTCCGCTTTTACTAACTGATATAATAAATTAACAAAACATTTGCTTGAATCATTTTTCTCATATTAGTGGTGGCGGGTTATAGATGGCGCATGAATGAAATAAAAAACTATTAACAAGCACGCCCTCTATAACAAATCAGCTTCTAATTTCGAACTAATTTTTCTTAAACTTTATGAAGATCCCCCCCGTATATAATAAAAAAAAAGCATGTTGGAAGTGTTTTTTTTTTTACGGCATGGAAAGATGATCCGAGATTTACCTGCAGGGCTGCTGCCATAAATTTTAGAAAATGTCTTGTTTGTGTTTTTTTTTTAAATTTTTGTGTGCATTGTGTGTAGTGTTTGTCATTTTCAACTGTCGGTTGTCAAATATTTGTAATATTGACGCGCGACTGATTTCAGAACGGACGGAGTAGCGAACATTCGAGACAGAGCAGCGTCCTGCCCGATTTGCTCAGTCAGGCCAGCGGCAGCCCCGGGACGCCTTCGTCCAGGGACAAGTCGCAAAGCGAAGAGGTTCGTATTGGATTTTGTTTATTTACGAATTATAGTGGCCTTAATCCAAATATTAATGGTACGTCTATGGTTGTTAGGCTCCGCCCATTTGTGGCTGTTGCAGAGATGGGCGGAGTTTTTATGTCATGGGCGTAGTAATAAATAAAATTCTATAAAATTGTGTGTTTGGATTAGGGGAGATACCACTAGACACAAAATTTATTGCTTTTGTGAATAACCCTGAAATATTTTTGAAATGTCAAAAACTTATGAAACAATTTGGCAATACTGTTGGGACATTGTTGCCAAATTGTATGTGATTGCCATCATACCAAAAAAATATATAGGTATATAATATTAATTGTCTTTCTCTTTGGTTTGTGCCTCTCTCTATCTCTCTAACGAGTGACGTCTGTGTACTGTGTAACCCTCCTCTCCTCATTGTGTCTTTTGAAATATGTAAGTATTGACTTGATTTAAATGTTTTTTTTTTTATTGTGGTAGTGTTTGTTCATTTTTATCGCTCATTTTTGTTTGTTTTGCGATGTAAACGTGCTCACTTTTGCTAGTAAAGGAATTTCGCTATAGCTAAGCGGAAAATAGTTGGTAGATGATATTTAAATATGTTATTGGGGATGCGGTAAGCAACATTTTTTACCATGAGTGCAACCTTAAATGTCAAATATTGAAATTCAAAAGTCGGGTAACTATGGCAAATTTTGATGAAGTGAGCCAACCATTTTGACATCTGTCAAAACCATATGCCAAGCGGCAGCAATCATATTTTTCAGTTTTCAATATTTCATGATATATGTCATTTGACATTACAGAACTGTCAAAATCTATCATTTCCTTCCCTATCTCACGTAGGTACTGTCTTATCTCTTGGAACAGACCTTATAAACACACAAAAGGCCTAATTTCATAATAATCGAATTTCTTGTACTTACCTCTTAAAAACTGTGGCCTCCACTTGGAAATTCAATTTTCTGGGCAAAATAAACACAGAATTTATACCGCGACACTTTTCCAAACACTTTTAGAGTACTTTTTCCGATTGAAAAGTCCCGGAAAACTGGAAAATTCAATGAAAAACCGGGATAAAAACACTGTCAAATGTCACTATCACAGGCCATTGATCCACTTGATTTGAACCCGAGTGAAGTTGGCTACAAAACAGTGTTGCCATCTTAAAAAAAAATCGTAATTTATTAAGTTTATTAATCAATAATGATTTTAAAACTAGAAATTCCCTAAAAAAAGACTTAAAAAAGTAGTTTTTCAATGATTTTTGCTTGCGCACTTAATTTTAGTATTTAAAACTGGAAACTTTTGGCAAAAAATGAAGAAAACTCAAAGCCTCGTATTTTAAACCAGTTTTTCCGACTGAAAACAGCCTGAAAAAGCGGAAAATTCGAAGAAAAACTGGATTAAAATGTAAACACGTCAATTAAAAATTGGCCGACTGTCAAAAGAAAAGTGGCAAATGACATTTAATTACAAGGCCTGCTTGATTAAAAGCGACGTTGCCACATTTCAAATAGGAAAAAATCGCATTTTAAATGGTTTTTTGTTTAAAACTTAGGCAAATAATTTAATAAAATTATGGAAAACTGAAAAATTCAACGAAAAACCGACCATAGAAAACAAAAGCACGTAAGCCATTTTGAAACAATATTACACTTATTTGTTACGAGATGGCGCTATAATCGCGAGCTTCAAAATCGAGTAAAATAATTAATTAGGACTTAATTAAAGCCTAATTAAGCTAAATTACATCAAAATTAATGTAATTATAGAAGGTTTTAATCAAATAGGCTTCGGAATGGCAATTTTGACACTTGACAGTTGGCCATTATTAGTGGAAAATGGCCAACGCGTTTTTATTTCGGCCTTCGGTTTTTCGTCAAATTTTCCAGTTTTCAATAGGAAAAAGTACTCTAAAGTGTTCGGAAAAGTGTCGTGTTTCGAATTCCGTGTTTATTTCGCCCGGAAAGCTGAATTTCCGAGCGGGGGCCACAATTTAAGGGGTGAATACCGGAAAAACTAATTTATTATAAAACAGAGGCTTTTTGTGTGTCTAGTTTATAGTAAGTTTATGTTACAATAAGCTTTTTTGATCATAGAAAGATTTTGATCTTTCTCTATGACTATACTAGGCTCAGAGTAAGAGTTGAACATAGGTCTGTTCCCACAGGAGTCTCTGACAGTTTGCAAACTGTCAGTAAGCATCGCCCATACATGTTTTCAATGCTGTCGTTACAAGATAAATCTGCAACTCAGCTGAGCGATTGTTTTTGACAGGTTGCAAACTGTCAGAGAATCCTGTGCGAACAGACCTTATAATGCAAACGCCATTAATCAAGTAGGCCGGTAATACAGGTCCCTGTTACATAAGATCCACGAGGGAGGTTCAAAAGTTAATAATCATTCGATATTAAATTTTTCGGTAATTAACGGAACATTGCCTGACCTAACTTTATTTCGTCAAAATAGTGCCTGATGGCCGATAAGGTACTTTTTTCCTCGTAATTGATATTTCACTTGGGAAGATGGCTGCCTCCAGGCCAGGCTCAACCTTCCAGGTGGAAAGTCAAAATTTAAAAGGGCCGGAGAATCGGTTGAGCTGAACAAGCAGTGAATCCTTGGCCTGATAGGGAGTAAATGACTATGTCACAATGAGTTTATGTTACAATAGGCTTTTTTGATTATAGAAAGATTTTGATCTTTCTTTAAGACTAGGCTTAGAGCAAGAGTTGAACATAGGTCTGTTCCCACAGGAGTCTCTGACAGTTTGAAAACTGTCAGTAAGCATCGCCCATACATGTTTTCAATGCTGTCGTTACAAGATAAATCTGCAACTCAGCTGAGCGATTGTTTTTGACAGGTTGCAAACTGTCAGAGAATCCTGTGCGAACAGACCTTATAATGCAAACGCCATTAATCAAGTAGGCCGGTAATACAGGTCCCTGTTACATAAGATTCACGAGGGAGGTTCAAAAGTTAATAATCATTCGATATTAAATTTTTCGGTAATTAACGGAACATTGCCTGACGTAACTTTACTTCGTCAAAATAGTGCCTGATGGCCGATAAGGTACTTTTTTCCACGTAATTGATATTTCACTTGGGAAGATGGCTGCCCCCAGGCCAGGCTCAACCTTCCAGGTGGGAAAGTCAAAATTTAAAAGGGCCGGAGAATCGGACGAGCTGAACAAGCAGTGAATCCTTGGCCTGATAGGGAGTAAATGACTATGTCACAATGAGTTTATGTTACAATAGGCTTTTTTGATCATAGAAAGATTTTGATCTTTCTTTAAGACTAGGCTTAGAGCAAGAGTTGAACATAGGTCTGTTCCCACAGGAGTCTCTGACAGTTTGCAAACTGTCAGTAAGCATCGCCATACATGTTTTCAATGCTGTCGTTACAAGATAAATCTGCTACTCTAGTTGAGCGATTGTTTTTGACAGGTTGCAAACTGTCAGAGAATCCTGTGCGAACAGACCTTATAATGCAAACGCCATTAATCAAGTAGGCCGGTAATACAGGTCCCTGTTACATAAGATCCACGAGGGAGGTTCAAAAGTTAATAATCATTCGATATTAAATTTTTCGGTAATTAACGGAACATTGCCTCCTGACCTAACTTTATTTCGTCAAAATAGTGCCTGATGGCCGATAAGGTACTTTTTTCCTCGTAATTGATATTTCACTTGGGAAGATGGCTGCCTCCAGGCCAGGCTCAACCTTCCAGGTGGAAAGTCAAAATTTAAAAGGGCCGGAGAATCGGACGAGCTGAACAAGCAGTGAATCCTTGGCCTGATAGGGAGTAAATGACTATGTCACAATGAGTTTATGTTACAATAGGCTTTTTTGATCATAGAAAGATTTTGATCTTTCTTTAAGACTAGGCTTAGAGCAAGAGTTGAACATAGGTCTGTTCCCACAGGAGTCTCTGACAGTTTGCAAACTGTCAGTAAGCATCGCCCATACATGTTTTCAATGCTGTCGTTACAAGATAAATCTGCTACTCTAGTTGAGCGATTGTTTTTGACAGGTTGCAAACTGTCAGAGAATCCTGTGCGAACAGACCTTATAATGCAAACGCCATTAATCAAGTAGGCCGGTAATACAGGTCCCTGTTACATAAGATCCACGAGGGAGGTTCAAAAGTTAATAATCATTCGATATTAAATTTTTCGGTAATTAACGGAACATTGCCTGACCTAACTTTATTTCGTCAAAATAGTGCCTGATGGCCGATAAGGTACTTTTTTCCTCGTAATTGATATTTCACTTGGGAAGATGGCTGCCTCCAGGCCAGGCTCAACCTTCCAGGTGGAAAGTCAAAATTTGAAAGGGCCGGAGAATCGGTTGAGCTGAACAAGCAGTGAATCCTTGGCCTGATAGGGAGTAAATGACTATGTCACAATGAGTTTATGTTACAATAGGCTTTTTTGATCATAGAAAGATTTTGATCTTTCTTTAAGACTAGGCTTAGAGCAAGAGTTGAACATAGGTCTGTTCCCACAGGAGTCTCTGACAGTTTGCAAACTGTCAGTAAGCATCGCCCATACATGTTTTCAATGCTGTCGTTACAAGATAAATCTGCTACTCTAGTTGAGCGATTGTTTTTGACAGGTTGCAAACTGTCAGAGAATCCTGTGCGAACAGACCTTATAATGCAAACGCCATTAATCAAGTAGGCCGGTAATACAGGTCCCTGTTACATAAGATCCACGAGGGAGGTTCAAAAGTTAATAATCATTCGATATTAAATTTTTCGGTAATTAACGGAACATTGCCTGACCTAACTTTATTTCGTCAAAATAGTGCCTGATGGCCGATAAGGTACTTTTTTCCTCGTAATTGATATTTCACTTGGGAAGATGGCTGCCTCCAGGCCAGGCTCAACCTTCCAGGTGGAAAGTCAAAATTTAAAAGGGCCGGAGAATCGGTTGAGCTGAACAAGCAGTGAATCCTTGGCCTGATAGGGAGTAAATGACTATGTCACAATGAG